TGAGGGCTGCCCTCTCCAATAAAGTAGAAAGATTTGCCATGGCCTCTAACACCCTACAGCAGAGGTCCTCAACCTCCAGACCATGAACCAATACTGGTCTGTGGCCTGTTAGTAACTGGGCCGCACATCAGGAGGTGAGAAGCGGGCAAGCAAGTGAAGCTTCATCTGTATTTACAGCCACTCCCTATCACTAACATTACCGCCTGAGCTCCACTCCTTGTCAGATCAGTGGCAGCATTAGATTCTCATAGGAGCTTTGACCCTATTGTGGACTCACATTCCTTATGATTATCTCAGGTGGAGCTGAGGCAGTGATGCTAGTGCTGGGGTGTGGCTGCAAATACAGATAAACATTACCAGTGAAGTTTGACTACACATCCTCTCCTTTCCCAACTGTGGAAAAACTGTCTTCCACAAAACTGGTCCCTGATGCCAAAAATGTTGGGGACCACTTCCCTACAGAATCTGACCTGGCCTGTACCTCCAGCTCATCTCCTGCTACCTCCTTCATGTCACAACCATATGTCTTGCCTTTTTTTTTTTTTTTTGAGGTGATGGAGCTGGTCCTGCCCAAGAGTCTTTACCTGGGCAATGTCCGCTGCCTGGTACACTCTTCCCTCTAATTCTTGCCTCTTGCCTTCTTAGCAGGATCTTCCTTCCTAAATCAACCCGAGAAGTTTTCTGTACTTTCATGGGTCCAATGTGTTAAAAGTTGTAGTTCAGGGCCACCAAGTCAGTTAAGACAGGAGAGGTCAAGTTCCCAGAAGAAAGTCAAGCAGAAAGGAGTGAGTCTCACAGTCTCAGCCACTTTTCCTGCAGAGATACCAGCCTATTTGTAAAAGGTATAGAAACACAAAAACAGAAAAATTAGCTGTGAAAAGGCTGAGGAACCACACAGAGTTCTTGACACTATCACAGTACTGAAGATTTTTAAAGGTAGAATTTAGGGTCTGGCAAGGAAAAGCTGCCTGATAAACACCCCAGGCATCTAGATGAGAGTGCTAAAGCACCTCATCCTAATACCGTGTTTCTCAACGTATGATCCATGAATCCCTAGGGGTTCCAGACACTCTTTCAGAGGGTTCAAGAGGCCAGACTATTGTCATAATAACATCTGCCTTTTTTACTGTGTTGATATTTGCCCTGATGACACAAAAACGATGGTAAGCGCCTCACCCCAAATCAAGGCAACAGCACCAAAGTATTAGCAGTCATTGTGTTCATCACCACCAGGTACTCAGAAAAGGAACAAACCAGCAAAGTCAGTTTCATCTAAGGATACCATTGATTGATCATGCAATAAAAATGATTAATTTTTAAAAATTTTGACCCTTCAGTAAACTTTTTTTTAGTATTCTGTGTGACAAAATGGAAAGTATACATGAAGTACTTCTGATGCAAGCTGAAATATGATAGTTACCTTTAGAAAAAGGAACTATGTGATTTTTTTGCTGCAAATTAAAGTAGCCTCTTTTGTCACATCACAACATTATTACTTGAGAGAACCAATTATGGTTAATCAAACTTGAATTGGTAGACATTCTCAAAAATGTGCAAAGTGAATCTGTCTTTTAAAGGAAAAATGCTGAGTTTAAGTGAAAATTAGAATTTTGAAAAACTTGAATCCAAAACACTATGAGCTTGATAGAGTCCCAATATTTAAAGGGTTTCAATATAAGATTGATGATGGGCTGTGCACAGTGGCTCAAGCCTGTAATCCCAGCACTTTGGGAGGCCGAGGTGAGAGGACTGCCTGAGCCCAGGGGTTCGAGACCAGCCTGGACAACTTGGCGAGACCTTGTCTTTACAATAAATCAAAAACTTAGCCGGGCATGGTAGCATGTACCTACAGTTCCAACTACTTGGAAGGCTGCGGCAGAAAGATTGCCCGAGCCCAGCAAATCGAGGCTGTGGTGGCCATGAGTGTCATTGACAAAGTGAGACTCCAATTTAAAAAAAAGATATTTGCTACTGTATAATAAATTATGTTAATCCTTGAAGATTTCTGTAAGTCAATGACCAATATGATTCAAATGACCAATGCATGATGTTATGAAATCATGCATTTATAAAAATCCCATCATAGTGCAAGATAGAATAATAGATTTTAATGAAAGAGTTCAAAGAGTTCTTTGATGTGGTTTTAGATTCCACCTTGTGACTAATCTTTAAGAAACTACCACTTGTCGAATTGTGCTACAGTATTAAAGTATAACCACAATCATCTGAAAAGTGTATTAAAGTACTCTCCAATTGCATATTTGTGTAGAGCTGGATTTTCTTCATATGCCTTAAAGTAGCATATTGATACAGATTGAATGCAGACACAGGTATAAGCATCTAGCTGTCTTTCATTAAGCCAGATATCAAAAGAAAATTGAAAAAAAGTGAAAAACAATATTACTACTATTACTGAAATTTTTGTTTTGGAGGATAGATATTTTTCATAAAACATATTTTTAGGTTAACATGGAATAAGTTCGTGATTATTCTTTTAAATAAATACTAAGTAAATGTTGTAAAAGTTTTGCAATTTTTAATATGGTCAATATCAACATATATAACTCACATTAACAGAAGCTCTTTGGAGAACTCAACAATTTTTAAGAGTATAAAGAAATCCTGAGACCAAAAGGTTTGAGAATCACTGATCTGGAAAAATTATCAAAATTGGCCCTATATACCATAAAATAAGGTATAAAGGCCATAAAATAAGGCCATAAAATAAGTCTTAACAAACATCAGTTTTGAAATTATTCAGAATATATTCACTCACCACAGTGAAATTAAGTTAGAAGTCAATTTTTAAAAAGAACAACTAGGAAATCTTTAGTATTTTGAAATTAATCCATTAATTTCTAAAATGTTATGTCAAGGAGAAATTTCAGACTTTAGAAAATATTCTAAAGTAAAATATTCTAAAATCCAAAAATATGACATGTCAAAATTCATAGTATTTAAATAAAGGCGTACTTAGAGAGAAATTTATAGCATTAAATGTATATACTAAAAAAGAAAAAAGCTGAAAAATAAGTGATCTAAGTAGCTATTTAGAAAAATAAATAAGAAAAACAAAAGCAAATTAAGAAAAAGGGGGAAATGATAAAGTCAGAAATAATATCTTAAAACACAAATATTGAATGGAGAATCAGCATAAAACAAAAGTTGATTCTTTGAAAATACTAAAAAGTAATAAATCTTTAAAACACCAAGAAAAATGGAGGAGAAATAAATTACCAATATCAAAATAAAGGTGTCATATAAAAAATTGTAAGATGATATGAAAATATATATATGCGAAGATGAGAAAAATCACAATTACAAAAACAGATAGAAAGAAATAGAAAATATGAATAGCTGTACACCTATTAAAGGCATTGAATGTCTAGGTCAAAAGTTCCTATAAGGAAAACTCCCTGCCTGATTTTATTGAAGTATTTTAAGGGGAAGTAACACTAATGTGAAATATTTTTTTCATAGAATATAATCATCTTTTCAACTCATCTAATGGTGCAGCATAACTTTGATGAGAACTATACAAGAAAAATATTTCTAGTCAATTTCTCCTATGAATGCAAATTAAAAATTCTAAACAAAATACTAGCGAATTGAATTCCATTATATATAAATAAGATAATGGTCAAGGCTTATTTTAGCAATGCAAGATTGGTTTACCATTCAAAAATCAATGGAACATGAACACACACACACACTCACATACACTCACACAAATATGCTATTATATGGAGAGATTCCCAGTTTCCAGTCAATATGTGAAGAGCTTGGAAGTCTCCAGTTGTATTCTCACAATAAGGAAAAATACACACACACACACACACACGTACACACACACCGAGCAAACTGAAAATTGACAATTCTTACATCTATCAGAGAATTGAGGTCCCAAAGCAATCTGCTGCTCTGAAAAGTAAAGAAGCAGACAGACACAGAGAATCTCAGCTTGACAGAAGCAGAAGTCCTCAGATGGACAAGTTTGAGAGTTTAAAACTCCACAAGGGTCCAGTCTTAGGCATCCCCACACTACTATGAGTTTCACCTCCAGAAACCCTACTCTGTTCTCACTGTGAAGATCCCTCATGATTCCAGCAGGCAAAGTAAGACAGCAACCAGTTAAAAATCGGTCCAGAGCATTCTGTTCTCCCTAGCTGAGGCCCTCAAGGAAAACCATTTTACTGTAGCCTAATTTGGATTTTATCTGGGCCTAGTTGGCTTAGAAGAAAGGAAATGCTCAACTCATGCTCACTAAGAGATTGAGACCTGATCACAGGACTATAGAACTCTTCCCCTCCCCCACGCCTCACCGCCATATCAAGAAGGCTCTTGTATAATAATGGAGGACAAAGAATTACAAGCCTTAGACTCTACTTAAAAACCCACAGACAACAGGAGAGACAAAAACAAGGACACTAGAGGAGATTTTAGACTCTGACACTATTGCTACAGCAAACAGTAAATACACAGCCTAACACCTAGCCAGATAAACATAAACCTCACACTAATGTCGTATCTACCTCAGTTCCTATTACTCAATAAACGAATCTAGGCTTTCAGCAAAAAATTCCAAATGACAAAAAAATTACTAATCACTAAAAGCCAAAAAACACAGTCTGAAGAGACAAAGCATGTATTAGAACCAAACTCAAACATGCAGAGGTTTTGGAGTAATCAGACAGGGAATTTAGAATAAGTGTTATTAAAATGCTAAGGGTTTTAAGGGACAAAGTGAACAATAGGCAACAGAGCAGATGGTTCATGTAAGCAGTGAGATGAAAACTCCAAAAAGACAAAGCGTTAAACAGAAATGCTAGAAATCAAAAGCACTGTCACAGAAACAAATGCCTTTGATGAGTTCATCAGTAGATGAGACATGCCAAGGAAAGAATCAGTGATTCTAAAGATATTTCAATAGAAATTTCCAAAGCTAGCCCCTCGCGGGTGGGCGGCAAGGGTCGTCGGCGGGGTGGGCAGGCCCGGACGGCGCCATGTCGGCTGGCGGCCCATGCCCTGCCGAAAGGGGCCCGGGGACGCCTCCTGCTCCGTGTGGGTCTCTGCTGGCGGGGTCTCCATGTACCGGTGGCTGGATGTGCTGGAGAAGGAGATCGACAAGGCCTTCGTGGACATGGGCCTGCTGCTGGGCGTGATCGACCCAGACCAGGCGGACATCACCTACGAGGGGCAGCAGAAGATGAGCTCCTGCTTCACGCATCTCTGCCACAAAGCCCAGACCGTCTCCCAGATCAACCACAAGCTCGAGGCACAGTTGGTGGATCTGAACTCTGAACTGACAGAGACCCAAGCAGAGAAGGTGGTGTTGGAGAAAGAACTGCTTGATTAGCTCTTGCAGTTGCACTCTATCCAGCTTCAGCTTCATGCTAAAACTGGTCAGAGTGTTGACTCTGGTACCATTAAGGCAAAACTGGAAAGAGAGCTTGAAGCAAACAAAAAAGAAAAAATGAGAGAAGCTCAGCTTGAAGCTGAAGTGAAATTGTTGAGAAAGGAGAACGAGGCATATAGCTGTTCTCCAGGCTGAAGTTTATGGGGCAAGACTGGCTGCCAAGTACTTGGACAAGGAACTAGCAGAATGGGTCCAGCAATTGCAATTACTAGGCCGAGATATGAAAGGACCCACTCATGATAAGCTTTGGAACCAATTAGAAGCTGGAATTCATTTGCATCGTCACAAAACTGTGATCAGAGTCTGTAGAGGGCATAACGACTTGAAACGGCTGATGCCGGCACCACCAGGTCACGATCAAGATTCCTTGAAGAAAAGCCAAGGTTTTGGTCCAATCAGAAAAGTTCTCCTCCAGCCGGGCTCGGTGGCTCAGCCTGTAATCCTGCGCCTTTGGGAGGCTGAGCTGTGTGGATTGCCTGAGTCCGCGGGTTCGAGACCCGCCTGGGCAGCAAGACCTCATCTCCACAATAAATAAAAAAATCAGCCGAGCGTGGTAGCACGTGCCTGTAATTCTGGCTACTTGGAAGACTGAGGCCGAAGGATCGCCGGAGCCCAGTAGGTTGAGGCTGCGGTGGCCGGAAGCGGCCACTGCACTCTAGTCTGGGCAACAGAGTGAGACTCCAACTCAAAAAAAAAAAAAGAAAAGAAAAGTTCTCCTCCTAAGGAAGATCATGAAGGACTTGGCATCTCAATTACAAGTGGGAAGGAACATGGTGTTCCAATCCTCATCTCTGAGATTCATCCAGGGCTACCAGCTGACAGATGCGGGGGGGGTCTCCACGTTGGAGATGCGATTTTGGCAGTAAATGGAGTTAACCTAAGGGACTCAATGCATAAAGAAGCTGTAGCCATTCATTCCCAGCAGAAAGGAGAAACTGAATTTGAAGTTGTTTATGTTGCTCCTGAAGTAGATTCTGATGACAAAAATGTAGAGTATGAAGATGAGAGTGGACATCGTTACCGTTTGTACCTTAATGAATTAGAAGGAGGTGGTAACCCTGGTGCTAGTTGCAAAGACTCAAGTGGGGAAATTCAAGTGTCACAAGGATTTAATAAGAAGGCAGTAACTGACGCACATGAAAATGGAGACCTGGGAACTTCGAGTGAAACTCCACTAGATGACAGTGCTTCAAAATTAGATGATCTGCACAGTCTGTATCACAACAAATCTTATTGAATTGACTGTCTCTCTAGACACATTGATTAATCAGACTGTTCTGAATTTGGGACACTAGGGAAGATGGTGACGAAGACTATAGAAGAAGGGAGGCTGTTGGCTGCCTAAACGAAAGGCAGGTACCTCAGGGCTTCATGTGAAAAATTCTGAATGCATAAAACCCCCTGTTTTCTGTGGTATACTGTTAGTGATCGCATGTTAAGCAATTTCATTTTCTTGAAACTGTAAGCACCAAAGCATGTGTTTCTCAAAGGGACATCACAGACTTTTAAGTGCCACATGGCACACCACTGTTTCATTTGGCTCCTCTTCCATTTAGTAGAATGACAGTGCTGACTGGAATTTTATAAAATATAATATTCAAATGCAGAGAGTAAGTGGATTCATATTGCATATTCCAGAATGTTAACTGTGGTATTTCAGAGAACAGAACTTGACTCAATGAATTACCAATGTGACTTAATTTTTTTCTAACTGAAAGAATGTTTTTAGACTTAAAAAATTTTTTTGTTGTGCATCCTGATATCTGAATCCATTACTAGTGATTGAGTTTGCCTTTCAGCTTTATTCAATGCATACAAAATAGTTTTATTTAAACAATCTTTTATCAATCAGTGCTGTGCTAGAAATACTTTCTGAAATTTTACTATACATTTTACTTTTTTGGTTGCTAAATGCAGATGAGTATAAAATATCTGTTCTCCATGATGTTGATCTGTGTGCATTGCATTGGAGCATTTACTCATTAATATTTAGCTCAGATGTTTTCTTTCTGGGATCCACAAAGACAATTCCATACATTTTGGGTTGTTCATAAAGTTTATCTTGCTATAACAGTCCTGGCACCTACAGGTAAATTTTTCTGGTAGTAAAACTCACATTTATTATTAAGTCACGCAATACAGTGCATTCAAACAGCAACTTTCTCTCTGAGTAGCTGATTTGCCCAAATCATCTGATAAGTCGGGGGCAAAGTTGGGCAAGATGAAGTGAAGACATTTGATACAGTAATTGTTCTGATTGGGTTTTCGTGTCAGTGTATGTTTGACTAAAGAACTTTTTATTTGTAAACTCTGTGACTTTGCATTTTTCTTGTAGGCAAAAAAGTGGTGGGGAGAAACCATTTTCCCAGGCTCTCCCTCACCATTGCAGCAGGAGAGATACTACCTGGCTTTGCCTCACCACTTCAGCGCCTGGCAGGGCACTGGCAGCAGGGGCTACAGAGGGAGTCCAGAGGCAAAGTCCCACGGAAGAGGACAAGAGAGGAACCCCATCACCATCCTGTAGGAGGGGCAAGAAAGTGCTCCAACTTGTTTACGGGAGCAACAGACCCAATCTCTGTGACTGGCAGATGAACTACTCAGGGATTGATTGTGACCCAGAAGATAGAATATCCTGAAAGCACAAACTTTGGAGGGACCTGATGAGTTCCAGGCACTCCACCCCCTACCCTGATCTAGCCACAGGACAAAGGGTGTGGCCAGAAAAGGACAAAAAAGAACTCCAAAGAGATTAGTGGTGAGTCTGGGGCTGACCCAAACCTCCTCCTCCCTAGCAATCCTCTGAATGTCAGACCCACAGAGCTGGGCCATGACTGAGAGTGACAAACCCAGGTGGAGCCTGGATGTCAGTCGCAATGGGAGAACTCCATTCTAGGATAAGCCTGGCTGGAGAACCCCCCTCTCCACCCCCCCCCCCCCCCCGTGAGTTCATACCTGGGGAAGAGACAATCCCGTACCTCCCCATGGGTGGAGATCTCCCTGACCAAATGGGAGTGGGAGGGGAGGACTGCAGCCCCACCCACCTCCACTGCCACTCCTCCTTCCCTGCTTGTTCCCTGAGGAGACAGTGAAAGAGGTGGCTCTGCAGGAGAGAACTGATTAGAGGAACAATTACAGAACCTGCCACAAGAGGGCAGATTTTTTTTTTTAATTTTCAATTTTTAAAAAAAATTTTGTCTGTTAGTTCATCTATTTTTTTAGATCTATTTTTTGTTTGTTAGTTCATCTATTTTTTAAAAATATTTTTCCTTTGTGCGTGAATGTGTATGTGAGGGTTTGATCTGCATCCCCCCTACATTTTTTTTTTCGTTTTCTGTTTCTTTCTTCTTTTATTTGTCATTTTCTGTTTATGTGTGTATGTGAATGATTGAGTGTTCATCTTTCAATTTTGTTGTTGCTGTTGGTTTGTTTTTGCTCTTTTGTTCTTCTGGTTTTTTCATTTTCATTTCTTGTAGTTTAAGGTGTGTATCACTATATGTGTGAGGAATCTACCTGAATTCCTTTTTTTTTCCCTTCTAGTCTTTCCGTTTTTCTTCTCTATTCACTTTGTGCTAGGCATGTGTGTGTGTGTTTCGTTTTCTAAGTCTTTTGTTGTTGTTGTTTGTTTTGTTTCACTTTGTTGTTATTCCAGTTTGTTTTGGGGTGTGTGTGTATGTCTGTGTGTGTGTGTGTTCAATTGTTTTTTGCATTGGTTTCTACTCTGCAATGTCAAATAGAGTGGTGGTGGGGAGTGGATCTCAGGGAACACATACCGCAATAAATGAACATTGTAATTTGCGAGTAATTTCTGAATCCTAGTGCTGCATCCCCTACTTGTTCGAATTTCAAAAACTACAAAAGACAGCAAAGCTTCCCATCTACCATCCTATTTCAAAATAGAACAAATCCAGAGCCCAGATCAGGGAAGAATAGAGGACTGGGCAAACATCAGAAGGAAAAGCCTCTCTCACTGACACTGAATAACAGAACTAAAGAGAAAAATAAGAGATCTGTCACAAATGAGGAAAGACCAAAGGAAGACGTCAGGCAATTTCAAGGGTACCAAAGACAAAACTCCTGAAAAATCAGACCTTGGTGCCCAAACAACGGAAGTCACCAACAACTGGCCCCAGAATATGATAGGGATTAGGAAATGGATGGAAAGAATGAAAAAGACTCAAGAAAGACAAGATACAACACTGAAAGAACTTGTAACAGAGGTTTTGGCAATAAAAAATTTCATCCAGGAAATAAATAATAAGATTACAATCAGGGAAAGCAGAATTAATCTAGCTGAAGAAAGAATCTCAGAACTTGAAGACCAGAACATGGAATTAACCCAACTTGTAAAAAACATAGAAAGAAGACTCAGGAAGAAGAACAAAGCCTACAAGAGATGTGCGATTATATCAAGAGGCCAAACCTATGCCTGATTGGTATTCCAGAAGAAGAAAGGGAAATGGAGAACAACTTGGAGCAAGTATTACAGGAGGAAAACCAAGAAAACTTTCCCCATCTCACCAAAGATGTGACCAGCCAAGCACAAGAGATACAGAGAACCTTCACAAGACATCAATTGAGAAGACCAATCCCTAAACACATAATAATTTGCCTACACAAAGTAAGCACAAAATAAAAACTCCTCAAGGCAGCAAGAGAGAAAGGCTAGACTACTTACTGGGGAAAATCAATTAGAATAGCAGCAGACTTATCGGCAGAAACACTACGAGCAAGAAGGGACTGGAGCCCTATATTCAAAGTCCTCAAAGATAAACAATTTCAACCAAGAATTTCCTATCCAGTCAAACTTAGCTTCATCAGTGATGGAGAATTAAAATCCTTCCCAGACATCCAATGCATAAGAGATTTTGCAGCTCCAGACCAGATCTACAGGAGACACTTGAAAAGATATTAAACACAGAAGAAAGAAAGAAAAAAAAATGACTTCCCAAGAGAACAGCAGAGTACAGAATCAACAGAGAATACAGTGCAACAAGAAACTTGAAAACACACACACACATCGACCCCAAAGCCAAAAGAAAACAAGCAAAGAAAAAAATTGTATAAGAACCTCATGACAGCGATAAACAATCACATTTCAATAATCAGCCTGAATGTGAATGGACTAAATGCACCACTGAAAAGACACAGAATGGCAAACTGAATAAGAAACCCTGACCCAATTATTTGCTGCATCCAGGAGACACATCTCACTATAAGGGATGCACACAGACTCAAAGTTAAAGGATGGAAAATGAGTTTCCAGGCAAATGGATCACAAAAGAAGGCAGGAGTTGCTATTTTATTGTCAGACAAAACAACCTTTAAGCTATCAAAAAATTTAAAAGAAGCAAAAGGACACTACATAATGATAAAAGGTTCAATCTGTCAACAAGAAATATAGATCCTAAACACGTATGCACCCAACACAGGAGCACCGGCATTTATAAAGCAACTGCTAAGTAAACTAAAAAAAGATATTGACCCTAACACTATTATAGCAGGGGACTTGAATACCCCACTAATAGCCCTAGTAGATCATCGAGGCAAAAAATCAACAAGAGCATCCAGAACCTAAATTTGACACTTGACCAAATGGACTTAATAGATACCTACAGATTATTCCACCCAACACTCACAGAATACACATTCTACTCATCACCACATGGAATGTACTCCAAGATCGATCACATCTTTGGCCATAAATCAAGCATAAACAGATTCCATATGGTTGAAATCTTGCCATGCACATTCTTAGTGGAATAAAAAGAAATATTAACACCAACAAAATTTCCCCAAAACCCATAAAGACATGAACACAAAACAGCATGATGCTGAATAACTACTGGGTCAACACTGAAGTCAAAGCAGAAATTAAAAGATTCCTGGAAACAAATGAAAATGAAGAAGCATCTTATCAAAACCTCTGGAATGCCATGAAATCAGTTCTAAGTGGGGAATTTGTATCTCTATGAGCAGCACACATCAAGAAAATGGAAAGATCACAAGTGAAGAGTCTAACAAATCATTTAAGGGAGCTGGAAAGAGAAGACCATCAAAACTCCAACTTTAGCAGAATAATCCAAATCACCAAAATAAGAGCCCAAATATGGAACATAGAAGAAAATATCATAGAAAACCAACAAAACAAAAAGCTGGTTCTTTGAAAGAATTAACAAGCTAGATGGACCCCTAGCCAGAATGGCCAAGAAAAAGAGAGAAAAAGCCCAAATAAACAGA